GGCCATGTGAACCAGTGGGCAATGCTCCTCCTTAGCTGGACTGGCTTCTTTCTCCATCCTCTGCTCCTCATGGCTGTTTGTGGTGCTTAGTTGTGTAGTAAGTGGCTCCCACGAATGCTGCCTTGTCTTTGGAAGTCACTAGGATTTAAGTCATGAAAGCTGTAGCCCTGTGTGGTGTCATTTGGCCCTGAAATGCCCAGCTCAGTGAATGCTGCTAACACCCTTCCAAAGGGACTTTATTAAAAATTAGCTTGCCCTTTTCCTGGAGCAACCCCAACAAACCAAGGCAGAATTCCTCGTTAGCCTCTGTGCCTAAAGCATGGCTGAGTGTCACAGCAGCCCTCTTGGGGGGCAGAGGATGAAGTATCTGGGATTATTCCTTTCATTATCCCAAACATCTGCGCCCTGTCCCCTCCCTGGGGGAGAGGAGTGAGGACAGTGTGCCTGCACATCTGCATGTGGCAGTGGCCTTTCCTATGCATGGAGTGAGCTTCCCTCGAGGCATTCCTAGCTAATCCTTCTTTCTTAACAGGGGAGATGTGAGACAAAGCATGGTGGCTGGCTGTGTGTGGTGTGGTGGTGCCTGCTCGCTGTGCCTCCTGGCAAGGTGAAATTGCATAATGCATCTAGCCTCGGTCGACTGAATTGCTTATCAAATCGATATCTCAGCTGCCTTTTGATTTTCTTAGTAGCTTCTGCTCCCAAGTTCAGCACAAGCAGGCAGTGATTTCTTCTGTGCAAACATGTAGTCTCCTACTCTGGGATGGGAGCTTCAAAGGCTACTTAAAAATTCATTTGTTAGCCAAAGGTGCTGTTGCCAACTGGGAACTTACTGAGATGGTGCTTTCCTTTCACTTTGCTTTAAGTACTGCGAAAGGAAAAGGCAATGTGGGGAAAAGTGAATCAATCATTTCCCATACTCTTAAAAAAACCCCAAAAAACAACAAACAACTACAGCTTTGTTTCCTTAAAAAAATAGAAAGCATCTAGCAACTGTCTGCATCGAAACTACATGATGGACATGATTATAAAAAAACAGTCCCCTTATTGTAGAGGATTCAAATCTGAATGCAGACTTGAATAGAGCAGTAAACGTTTAATGAAGATATAGGCAAAGCAGAAATAAAAAAGCAACACCCAGGAGACCTGATGCACCGAATTACTTCAGTCTGTTGAAACACTTCAGTACAGTTAAATCCAGACAATAAGATTAGAGCACAACCAAAATAGCTGCAAGTCATCAGGTGTCACGTTCAGCCTCCAGTAATTTGTCTTAGAGGACAGTGGCTTTTAAATTAGCCTTCTGGGTGCCTGGCAGCATACATTAGGTGCTGTTAATTAATTGGCTGCTGAGCTGATCTCTCCCAGTAAAGCAGCAGGGAAAACCCAGGACTGGGTAGTAACGGAGGTAGGAGAGATTGCAGAGGTGCAGATGCAGAGCTGGTTGATTGTGCTGGGCAGCCTGTGCTCAGCTCTTCCTGGACTCCCCAAAAATAACAGCTTTGTGTTTACGGCTGGGCTGGTAATGCAAAGAGGGCTTGCAAATGGTTTGGGTGTCCATGGGGGTACCTAGCTGCCCTTCCAGCTCTGTGGTAGGAGAAAAGCTCTTTCATCCCAGTGCTGGTTACAGCATCAAAGCTGCTTGTGCACTCCTGCTTGTCCTGGCAAGGAGTGATTTAAAAATAATAAATGTTTAAACATTGCAGCTGTTTTGTCTTGGATTGACTGTTACTTTTTCTCTGGTAGCTTTTGGGTCGTACAGTTCATTTTTTCCCCCCACGTGCTATGCTCAGCAACTGAAGACAAACCATTGGTTTTACCATCCCTTAATTGCCTTTGACTTTGTGACATGAACCACCTCCTGCTTAAGTGTAGACTTCATTCTGTGAACTTATCTGAGGGTTTATAATGTGTGTGGGTTTTCTTTTCATTGCACAGCACCAAGAAGGCTTCATAGTAGTGATGCTTTGAACCTTCTTGCTTTTTGTACCTTAAAGGGAACCTGAGGCAGTTGTTTCTGGTGAGTTTTGAAATATGTTGTCATACAAAAGTCGCCTTAATGATCTGTGACATATTCAATTCACTTCTAAGTCAGAGCTTGGGCAGATGAAGAGATCAAATTTGTCTTCTTGCAGGTCCTTAAGACAGGCATCCTTCTCAAAACAGGCATTGTATTAAAGACCATTCTTATTCATAACTATTCTTGTTAATTGTGGACCTCCCAAACTCTTAGCTGGCTGATTCAAATTCTTTGAGAGCCAAAGGGAATGGTTTGAATTGCTTTCGCTTAGTCAAAGATTAGTTGAGAACAAGTCGAGCTTGTCTTTTGCTGAGTGAGTAAGCATT